AAATCCACTCGTCCCACTGGGTGGACGACTCCTCCTCCAAACCCTACTAAAGGGTGGGATGCCGGATGTATGCAATCAGTCTGATATTTTAGTTTCGACAGACATTTGCTACTGATGAGATCTGAGGAGCTTCCGGTATCTATGAGGATTCGACCAACTCTCTGGTTGGCCACTTTACATTCAATAGCGATAGGGTCGTCATGCGGCCCTCTTACCCCTCCTAGATCTTCTTCAGTGATGACAATCTCAGGAAATGAATATTTGGAGGGCCGTTCTAGGTGAACGGAATTTACATCTAACCGTCTGATATTGTCTTTGTTGCCCCTAATAGTGGGGCCGCCTCCTGAGAAGCCGCCTGCAATGGTGTAGACGACTGCATCATCTGTATCGGAGCTGTCGGCCTGTTGATTCTTTTTGGTCGACTGCTTTTTCGAGGAAGTGTTCCCCGTAGATTTCTTGACATAAGTGTCAAGATCACCTTGCTCAGCCAGGCGGTCTAGATACCGCATGAGACTGATGCATTCATTGGTGTGATGACCAACATCTTCATGATAATCACAGAATTTTTCTTAGTTCCGATTGTTTGCAGAACCCTTCATGGGGACCGGCTTCTCAATTGAGATCCGTCCCTTGATTTCCTTTAGGATAAATTGGCTATCCTTGTTAAACACATACTTTGGGGAGTATGGTTTGAATTATTTTTTCTTCTTCTGGGACGGCTGTTTAGAGGAATCAGTTGCCCAGACCTCTTTTCTCTTCTCGTCTTTGTTTGACGACTGCTTCTGTCGTCCTTCTCTTTTGTCGGACCTTTTCCCGTCTGACTGTTTTACCGTACTACAAAGATCAGTCGCCTGTATATAGGCTTCCGCTTCAATCAAGGCCTCTTGAAGAGTCGCCACCCTCTTTCGGACCAAATCAAATTTGAAGGTCGACCCGTCTTTGAGACCTCTGAAAAAGTCAGTATAGGCTACTTCATCCGGTAACCCTTGAATCTGTATTCTCATCAAGTTAAACCGCCTGATGTAAGAACGAAGCCCCTCCTTCTCGCCCTGCTGAATTGTTCCTAAATCAAGGGTCATCTTCTTCGCAGGGATGTTCATGGCGAAGTTGGAGGTGAATAAGTAAGCAAGCGTCTTGAAGTTATTTACACAACCAGTCGACAGGTTGCCGAACCATTGTTGTGCGATTCCTTTGAGAGTCGTTGGGAAACACTTGCACCAAGTGGGATCATCCAACCCTTGAAGGTACATCAGGTTGGTGAATGCCATCAGATGGTCTTCTGGGTTAGTAGTGCCGTCATAGGCGCCTACTAATACATTTTTCACTTTGGCCGGCTGAGCGGCTTCAGTAATTTCCTTGGAGAAGGCCGACGGCTGTTCACCAAGTCTAAGCAACCGTAGTTGCCAGTCCATAGGTTGGACATTTTTTGCTGCATGTCCACCAAACGGAGGTGGCTGTAAAAAATACTGTTGTTGTGGTACAAACGGTAAGTTTGGTACCGCCTGGTCGCTATGAAAGCCGGTCTGACGGGAGGTGCCGCCTGACTGACTCTTATGATACGACTGAGTATGCCTCATCGAGGTATTTCGCAGACTGTCTTGAAAGTTTGAAGTAGAGGCCGACTCTGACAATCGATCACTCTTCTTCTGTTCTAGCAGTAGCCGAGCGTCTGTGTATGTTTTCCTCGACCCGTCCGCCTGAATATGACGAACATGTTTCCTATTTCTTGGAGTAGGAAAACGGTATTTTGTGAAATCAAGGGCAGGTGGCTCCCACTTCCTAGATTTAGGATGAGGGGTCGCCTCTCGCCCTTGAACTGGCTTCCTCTTCCGTGAAGTGGAGGGTTTCTTAGCCAACTGCTCCTTGTCCAGAGCAGGCGGCTTCTTGTTGACCAACTCTTGAATTTCTCCCTTGAAGTCCCTCTTGAAGGTCATGAGTTCGTTCCTTGTGATGGGAGCAGACCCATCAGTCGGCTGGTGCCGAACAGGCGGTGCGCCTGCTGGCTCGCTTCCAGTTTGAAGATGTTCCCGTTCCCTCTTTTCGGTATGACGGGTACGTCGGGCCCTTAGGGTCCCGTCTGAAGCTGTGTGAGCTTCAACTTCAAATTCATTCTCAGTATCGTGGTCCGACTGAACTAGAGGGTCGTCCAGGGGACGTCTCTCTTCAGGAGCCGGTACAAACGTGGATGCCATCTCAGAAGTACTCTCCCCACAGACGGCGCCAAAATGTTTCGGGGTTTTCTGATGTCCTGCGGGAGAGTTACAATTCCGAGACTGGAACCGGACGCCTGTACCTGCAAAACAAACGGATGCTCCGGATGATTGGAGATCCGCCTCCGACGGTCAAGTTAGTACTTGATTAAGGAGTAATTAATGCGGAAATTAAAGTGATTGGGTCTCTCTAGGTGAGAGAGTTTAATGTGTGTAATCTGCGTTATCTCCCTTAATGAGGATTAAGGGAGGTATTTATAACCTCGGGAAATGTGCCAATCTAGGTTTAGGTTAACCTTGGGCTGATTGGGCTTCCCTCGGAAGTTGGGCCTGGGTGGCCGACTTCTCCATTAGGCATGGAGTATGCCACGTGTCATGACATAATAGGTCCAAGGCGGACGAATAAGTGTGTGCCACGTGGCAAGCCCTGAGAGGTCCAACTGGGGAACACTTGGCAGGACCTGATTGGCCCACGTGGCGCATTCCGATTGGTGGGAGCAAAATCCCCTAATCAATATTATTCTTGTAGAACCCCCCAAATTACCTCTATTTATAGAGTTTAGTTGACCTTTTAGACTCCTAGTAGGATATGTTTTAGAAGCAATAATATAGGAAATATTGCTTGGAATAATCCAATAATCCTATTTTTCGATTATTTTTTAATAATCCGACCTTTATATTCAATCTGCTCCCAATAGTCTCAAGCGGTTATCTAACATGTTATAACAAGTTACCTGACAAGTGTCGGCCTGTGATTAGTTAAAAAAATTAAAAAATAAATAATTAATTGTTTAAATAGCCACCCACTAGCCTAAGCCACCCTTCCTGCCGCCCATTAATTAATAAGTTTTTTTTTAAGAAAAAAATTAATTAATCATTTTAAAAACCACCTCACTAGCCCAAGCCACCTTCCCCGCTGCCTGACTCCCTTGCCCCGCAGCACCAACCACCCAGACCCCCTCCCTCTCCCCAGCGTCGGCACCCCCATCCCCCCCCAATCCACCATCACCCTTCCCCCTGCCACGAAAATCCACTAGAATCATCCCCCCACACTCGAAAACCCCTTCCTTGTCTCAATCCCAAACCCGACCCCCTCCCCTTCCCCCTCCCGATTCCAACACGTCTCCTCTTCTCTTGTCCCAATTCCAGCCACCCTCACCTTCCCCCGTCTCGATTTCGACCTCCCTCACCTTTAACTGCCCCAATTTCGGCCTCTCTCACCTTTCCGCCCCAGCTTTGGCCGCCTAGCCACCCAAAATAGCGACGACGATGACGTATCTTGCGCCGCGAGATTCGATCTCACAGTTACTGCAATTCAGCGTGTATAGCGGTAGCTAGGCTAGGGGAGGGGTGGCTGCCGTATTTTTTTTTTTTTTTTAAATTCAATTTTTTAATTTAAGAATTTAGACAAATTATGGTGACACGTATACTTTAAACTAAAAAAAATTATATTTAACAAGTAACCGATCACTTGAGACCATTGGGAGCAGATAGGGTATAAAGGTCGAAAAAAATAATCAAAATGTGGGATTATTTTGGGTGGATGAGCCAAAGGTCGAATTATTCTGGGAAATTTTTCCATAATATTATAAAAAAAGTCTAGAGAGAGAAGCAAAACCTAAAGTGCTCTCTTTCCTTCTAAACACATACCTTCCTTCTCCTGACCAACGGCTCGCTGGCAACCGACCTTCGCTTCCCTCTGGTTGTTGGCAAGTTTGCTTCCTTTAGCTTCTTGCATGTTGAAGCCGAGTTTGGGTTCTCCCTTTCCTTGTACCTCTCTGTCCCTATTCCGTTGGAGTTCGATTTATTGATTTGGATCGGGTTCAATTTCAGGTATGAAATTTCAAGTATGGGTATGTTTCGTTTTTGATAAGGAGAGAACTATTTGGTTTATTTTAATTTTTAGTCTAGTTTATAGTTGTTGGGGTTTTCAGGTTGGTTGTTAGTTGTTTTAAGGCTATAGGATATTTTTGAGGAATTTAGAGGGATTTTGTGTATTTCTCATAATCTCATGTACCAATTTGGATTTGGAGGGTAAAGTCAACCCTAACACTACACGTGATGAGCATGTATATATAAGTGTGGTTGAAATTCTTGAGCATACAACTTTCTTCGTTCCAAACAATGCAAGAGACCTAGTTTTGTTCTCAATAGCCTAAATTGAAGCCTACATATAGGATCCAATAACAAATTAACAATATAATCAACTTTTCAATAAAATTTCCTTTTATTCACATCTTGCCAAAAGGCCAAAAATAAATTTAATCCTCTCTCCTCAGTTCTTAGTTAAATATTCAATTATGCTTAAATGAAAATTCTTCTAGATTTTGAAATCCCTAGATTTTTTTTTGGAAATCCCTAGATTTAGTTACAAATGGATTAAACTAATCTTGTGTTTAAGCAGTAAGGCATGGTTCTTCTACACCCTTTGTAAATTGGTAGTTTCCCAACATAAGTGTACAACACTTCTTTAAATTTACTAATACTCCTATATTGGTGAACAATACCCCTTTTAATACTTTTTATTACCCTTTAGTGACTAGAGGCTACCCCATTTAATCTCCGTAATAAACAAACGAGTAAAACCGCTACCTCAAGTAGCGGGTTTTAAGGCAAAACCACTACTTTTTACCCATTTTTACCGCAAAAATTACACTTTTGTCCCAGTGATAAACTTGAATTTCCTCTTAGTGACTATGTTTCCAGTTTTCAACATAATACATGTTTTCACACACAAATATGTTTAATATTTCAAATGATTTATTAGAAACACACACACACACCCACCCTATCCAACAAGTATAAATATCATATATTAAGAAATCATATCGTATAGTATATACATTGTACAAAAGCTGGTATCATCCAAGTTGCACACTCTCTATACATTTTGTATATAAGCTGTTATATGCACAATTTTGATAAGAGAGAAAAAAGAAATTGATGATCTTCCCCTGATTACAAAGGAACATTACAAATTGACATTAGAAAAAAAACATGTTAGAAGAGAAAAAATGCATAAAATATCCTCAAACTATGTAAAGTAAGAGGAAGACAAAAAGACTGAGCAGGAGCAAATAGAAGCAAAATGACATGAACTTTTGTAATACTCACTTAATATTTTTATGACTTGTTAAGAATTTCTTAAAGTGCCTTCTTTCCTTGGTTCTGCTCCCGCGATCTTAAAGGGAGGAAAGACAAGACCTTCATCCTACAAATACAGAGCACGTAAGTTGCGATTAGCAAAAGATGAAATGATTCATATAGCATATTCTTCAGTACTGTGAAAAAGATAAAATGGATTTTAAACCATGACTTTTATTCATGCAAGCACTCCAATTCAACAAGTAGCTAACTATTTCAGCATTTCTACTCTTCAAGATCAAACAGTGCAACTGATCCAAAGTACGAAGTCTGACAATTTGCCTTGACAAGTAGACAACAGACTTAATATCTCAAACCATGTTAAAAGTTGGGGGAGTCAAGAGATGGAGTGAATCATAGAATGCATTGGCAGGGTAGAAGAAAGAAATGAAAAGTGAGAAAAGGTAGTAGTGAGTAGCCAAGGGTGAAGTAAGGAGGGAGGAAAGAGCAGGAGGATGATGCTGAGGCGAAATAGGAGGAAACTAGTTCTAAGGTCGGTGAATGTGGGGAAGTTTTTGGTTTTTAGAACAAGTTTTGAAACCAATTATATCAATAAAATAATGCATTTAACTACCCTATTCACTTTTGTGTGATATAGAACTTAACACAAATACAGCAAATCTATTAAGGTTTATAATTTTGTTACTAACACATGCTTTTTAATAAGGAGATTAGCAATTACATCTTCTTTCTAAAGCTTAAACTATCCATTAAGCACTACAAATGTAACCCATGATAAGATAAGAAATCCTATTGCCACTTTTTCATCTAAACAAGCTCTACAATTGATAATGGGGGCTTTGGTTCAAGTATGTTCGGAAGAAGACAAAAAGAAAAAGGGGAAGGGGATTTAACTACTCACGTAACAAAGTAGTATGACATAATTAATTTGGGTGGTAAGGAAATTATTAACTATTATATATTTTGAAAAACAAAAGTAATCCTTATAAAAATGAGGATAAAATAATATAATAATGAATATGGATGGAATAATCCTTGAGATACCTTCTCCGGTCGCCAACATACCAATTTGCACATTTAATACAAAAGGTGGTACTACTAATAGCAAATAGCTGAGGTTGTATTATTTTGCATTCACCGCTAATAGTTAGGAATCTTTTAAAATTAGTTAATAGGAGTAATATTAATGAGCTCAAGGTTGAGAAGAAACCAATTAAGATGTTATTGTCAAGACTTCTTACGAAGAAGCCATCAATCACCCCTTTAGTGATGGTTTGGATATGGCATCTAAGTCATGACGAACTAGTCAAGGCTATAATGATGAAGTTAGGGGTGTGATTCCACTCTCATAATAAGATGGAAAATATAATAATAATCCCAATTATCATTGACCCCTTCTCAGAATACTCTCAACTATTGATTAAGTCTCAATAATCCTAACCATTATCTTAGCCTTTCCATTCCCTTTCTTAACCCCCAAACACCACACAACCCTTTTACCACCACCAAACACTTCCCTACCCGCACGAACTAGCGTTCAACCACCACCACCACCTTCATTGGCTCCACCCCACCACCACCATTACCACCCTACCATGACCCATAACAAATCAAAACACAATAAAACCACACCTCAGACACCTAGACACCTAAACCCACCTGCTCACCTTGTAACCACCCCTCCCAACCACCAAAAACCAGATTCACCCTCCGTGAAACTACACCCCACCCTCTCAAAACCTCCCCCACACCCACTCACTAGGAAAAATCCACTACCTTGAAACCCACTCCCAACCACACAGCACTAAAAATTTGAAATAATTTTTTTTTAAATGGGAACTTATTACTTTTTCTTCATCAGTAATGGCATTAGATGGTCAAATTCAACCACAAATGCTAAACATTTAGAGTTTTTATGGTCGCATTTGACTATTAAAACCTCTAGCTTCAATGATGGTGATGAGAAAAGGGGCGCTAGCAAGGAGCGGGGCCAGCGGGTAGGGGGGCAGTAAAGGGTGACGGCAAGGAGGTAGCAGCAGCAAAGAGTGGCAGCACCATCAGAAGAATAGGGGAGAAGGTAGTGGTGCAATGGTGAAGGAAAAAAGGGAGGTTAATGACCAAATACCCCAAACAACTCTATATTAAAGGCTTTTGATTTCCTTTCCCTCTATGCTCATACAAGCTATGCCCCTGTATTTTCTTGAATTTCTTCCATATCAGGAAGTGGGAGGATAAAGGAAGAAAGGGGGGGGGTTAATTCTTGGGAATTGTCATTTTCGGGGAGTACACCGGGCTAACTTGTTGAGTATCCTTTGGGTTGAATCTATGTTAAGTTGCAAATTGCTTGTTTAAAAATGTCGTCTAGTTAACTCTTCAGGTTTCTTACTTGTTGCTATTCTACAACTTCCCTCTTTATGTCATTATTGGGCAGCTAATCTAGAGAGAGTAGATACTTGAGAGTTGTGAACATGTGCATGTGCAGAGGCCAAAGAAGGCTTTGTTTCCTCATGCATCATGTAATATCCAGTTTAGTTCAATATTTCAGAGGCAAAAGGGGTGTTGTAATATTTGTTATTGTATGTTCTAATTGGCTGGAAAAGAAATAATAGGATTCTCAAGGTCAGGCGTCTTCTCAAGATTTGTTTGTGGTACAAGATGGTTTCCCTATCTACTCATTTCTCTCACACTAATGTGGCTTTCTGCAATGTATATTATATCTTGAACATAATTGATTTTTTTTTTCTTTTTGCTTGCTTTAGCAGGCATTTTGTTCTTCTTGTGAGGAGTATTAATGAGTCTAGAAGCTCTAGCGTACTTGTGAGAAACTCAACTGAGCTCAACGCAGATTTTAACAAGATGAAGAAGTGTTTGGTTGGAGCTTTTTTAATGGTATGGAATGGAAGTGATACCATTCCAATGTTGGTTGGTTTTTTTAGGGAGAATGTCATACCTTTAGGCATCAAACTCTACCGCTGTAAGTTAAAACTCTATACCCACAAGAATCAAACCCTACTTTCTCATTAAAGAAAGACAGAAGAGAGGGACTGAATGTGTTTTCGACCTTTTCCAGCGACATGACAAGTGATGCAAGCAATTTTTTTGGGATTCAAAATTTTTGTTATAAGCTCTTTTTTTAAAAAAAAACACTAAGGACTAATTGTACAGGATTAAATGGAATCTTGATCGCTTTTTATTTTCTTAATTTGGGTCTTGGTTGATATCATTGATTGTTTTAATTCTGAAGATACACGATTTTTATTTGTATTTCATGAAAGTTACATTTTAATAAAAGGTAAAGATATGTAAATTTCTACTTTAAAATTAAAAAAAAAAAAAAAAAAAACTACATACAATATTACAATTCTTCTTGAAATTTTAATTCCATAACGAGAGTGAACCAAACAGTATAAACAGCACACCAATCCATTCCAAAATTAAACCTAACACTTTGACATATGTATGAGGTTCTCAATCCATACCTCCTTGGTATGAGTTCCCAAGCGATTCGATTCTAAATTTTTGACCCAAACCTAAGCAAAGCTATGACTGAGTCAAGAAGTTTATGAGGAGGCTTAAAATAATTAAATTGAATAAAGGAAACTAGTTATGTTTTATGAGTTACTTAATAGATTCAGCAAATACCTATGAGAATCTTAATGTATCAGAAGTTTAAGTATTAATACCTAACAGTTGTGCACATAATAAGCAAGAAAATATATGTATGGCCTTTATGAGCAAAATCACAAAAATTCCGTTGCGATTGGATGAGTAAGCATTCTTTTTTTTTTTTTTCTTTTATGTGGATAACATTTAGCCATTTAGGCATTCAGCCTAATCTTTACAAAAAGTAATGATAGACATATTGTAGCATGAAAGGCGCTTTCTTGGTTAAAGCTCATAACTTGGCATATTCAGGCTTGGTAAAGAAGTCAAGCCGAGCCAGAATAGTCTGAGCTCCGCAATTTCAAGCTTGGCTTAATCTCAAGTTTGGATTGACCAAAGCTGTGTTCAGCTTGTCACCATATTTATCTGATTACAATGTAGAAAAACATACTTATGACTATCAAAGTAGAAAGTGGCATAGAGCTGCTATGGTGCAAACTGACAACTAAGATAATTCATAAAAATCTTCTCATTGTTGAGATGTCAACCCACTAAAGTTGCCTAATATCAAGAACAAGCCCATTGTAAACAAGGTATTAATACTCTCTTGTGGCTAGGCACCAATTAAATTCTCAGTACCAACTACATATTTATGCCTTATAGATTGTTACAAGAATCAAAGCTTCTAATTGAGAAAAGAAATGGAATACTTACGAGACAGTATCAGCGCCACAAAATATAGGAACCCTTCCTAATCCTACGCCAAGCCACTGCTTCCTCAGTGAAGATACTAGATTATCAGCATCTGAACCTGTTGCTGTCAAAACAAACTTCGAGAAGAGATTGAGAGCATCAGATATAATTGGAGAAAACATTAATTACTATGGTATAAATGGTAACAACCAAGTCCCCAGAAGGTCTGAAGGATATACCTTGTTTTCCTAACCTAAAATTCCAATCAAAGAGAGAAAGAACAACAATATAACTACTTTTTCATCAATTTTAGAATTCCAACAACTTAAGTGACTGAGAACGTTAAACCCTTGCGCAAATGCATGAACGCCATTTAACAAGGTATGAATGATTTTCTTTTCTTTCCAAATGTCATCTAATATTTACCAACCAAATATATCCTGACACTCACTTGTTCAAGAGAAGAGAAAACAACTCAATGCTTGCTAGGTAAAACAGATACATGTCATAGGATGGAAAACTGATCATATATGTTGCTTTGGGGATTATGCTATAATAATTAATTAAAAATATATAATCACAGTTAGTTTCTTAAGAACAGCGTATCCAAAGCAGGTTTTTGACTTCTCCAGAGATAAAACACTTTTACCAGCAGAATGCATTTCATTATAATTTCACAATTAGAAAAAAATTGTCACAACACAAGTTAACCATTAGAGTCCCTCATGCAACCATTATTCAATAATTGATCCCTAGAACTTAAAGAATCCAGAGATCTTTGCATTGTATCCATCTATGCCACAAAGAGGGAAATCAAAATGGATTCACTGACCAATAACTAGGCAGCCATTTAGTCAAACCACCTACGGAACAAAATGTACATAATGCCCATAAGGATTTTCTAAAATCAAGAAGAGGAGTCCATATACAGATATAAAAAATGCAGAGCTACATACCAGAGGAAAAAGAGTGGCCATGACAGCATAGCTCTCCAGAGGAGGGAAGAAGAAAATTGCCAGCACACATGGACTTCCTGAAATCATGCCCCAAATCTTAAGAAAATGACAAACTAAGAATCTTGATCTTATCTCATTGACTCAGACCGTGTATTTTCTTGAAATTTTAAGATGATAGATAGATTCTTAATCTATATATTTACCTTCTCAATCCACTCAATGATATTTAATAATTTAGCAAGCCCCATATAATACATCATTCTGGAAAGCTTTTAAAAGGACTCAGCTTTTTAGTTCATTTCAAAGAACATAACCAGATCATTTGAAAATGAAAAAGTAGAAATATATATATATATATATATATATATATATATATATATATATATATATATATAAACCCTGAAACCAAAATGGATCTTGAGCTCATTGGTCCACATCAGAGGCAGATTCACAACAAACCAAGGGTGTGCACTACTCAATGCTTCAATAAAAACTACTTGAGGCAACTTGATGAAAGATTATAAAGGTAGCATTTTGGTTGACCCTAATATACAGTAGATCTCTATCATATTAATGTGGGTCTAGTGTTCTTACATTGTCAACTGGACAATATTCTGAATACTTTTTTTTTTCCCAAAATGTTTCATATTATGACATAATCTTGATTTTTTTTCTCATTATAAATTGTCAAATGTTCTAAAGATAACATAATAGCACCAGCCTATAAAAGGGACTACAAGAGGTCATGGATGAAAAAATAAGATTATCAAACCAGGTTTTAATCATTGTTACTTATCAAAGTACGGAGTATATAATTGTGCATATCCTATATCAAAATCCTGGATACGCCATTGGTCAACATACTTGTATGTATAAGACCCATTAGATGTGCCTTCTATGCATATGGCCAAAATGTCAATGAAAGAAATAGTTAAAATTTAAATTAATACATTTGATTTTCCTTGTACTTAAATTACAAAGCATATTTGTCAATCGGGAATTATCATGAAAATATATAATTTCAAGCAAAAGGAAAACATAAAGTTCTTCATAGCACAATAAAAGAACTTATATTACTTACTATCCAGAAACTAACTCAAATTTACTAACAAGGGTTGAACCCAACATAGTGGTGAATATTAAGATTTGACTTAAATTGACTCAAAAGTTACAGGAATATGAATCAACAATCACGGGATATATCAATCACTTAATAATTGTTAGTTCATGCATACCAAAACCAGCAAAAAATGCCCAATTGGACTCAAAGAAGTCCAGCCTTCGATCGAGTGTAACTCCTGAAAGATTCCATTTGTACCTGATAGAGCAGCATTATAGATATTCAAAATCAAACAGATGCAAATACAATAGAGTACATAGAATAAAAAACAAGAGGACGTACTCAAAACAATAATAAGCATACATCCAGGAGAGTAGCAAGAAATTGAGTGCTTTCCCAGCATATGGTATGAAACCAGTGGCAAAAACCTGCATATATCACCATGAACAGTCAAGGTAGGATCAAACCAGCTTCTTTTAATAAGATTTTTTTTTTTAAAAAAAATTGAGAGGAAAAGGGTTAGAGCCGTAGAGGGTAGAGAAAAACAGCTGATTTCTTCACCATAGTATGTGCAGAGGCCAACGTTCACTGATAATGATGACTAGCTTACATGCCTGTGACAAAAAATACATACAAAAAACATCAGAAGTAGTCTCACCTCTAGGAAGAAGAAGCTCAGGAGAAGAACTGAGTAGACTTGCTCTCCTATTCCAATCATGATCCTAGAAGTAGATGGTGAGAAAATATTCAATCATACGGCAGTTAATGTAAAATGATCCCGGCATTAAAAATACAGTTCCAACCAACACATTGATAATAAGATTAATGTACAAATCAATCATGCTTAAAATTGGGCAAATAGTAGCAATTAAGTCTGATGACAACTATCTCTAATGGATATAACACCGAAGTTACTCAGCATTATGTCTTGTATAAGTAGGACAGTCACTTAGAGAGGTTATATTTTATAAAAACAGATTAAGTGTATATTCAAAAGATAGTAGCAATAACATTCTAGATTTACCCTTCAAGACCAGCAGATTTATCTGAACCAGGAATTTGTACAATTGATGCCTCTTTTTCAGCTGCCATCCGTGCTGTTGAAGGCTTATGCTTCCCCATAGCAATAAACCCATGCTTAGCTATATCATTGTACCTATATATACAGAAGGTTGAACAGCCTTAAAATTATGTATAAAACTTGAAGACTTGTGAAAAAAGACGAGAGAGCTTTTTTTAACAGTTCCAATGTTTAAACCTTTTGCATTTACTACAGTCAATTTAAGAGTTTACGAAAATATAGGGGATAAACAAAAAAAATAGTGCCAGGACGAGAATTTTAAAAAAAAAAAAAAGGGTTGTTGCATATTCATCTTAGTGGAAAAGCACGACAACTGTGATTGCCTTTATTTTCATTGAAAAGCAATGTGTTGTGGGAAAAGATTTATTTAATTCATAAATGCAAGAAGCCTCTAGTTTTTTTACTTATGCAACTTTTAGAAAATAGACTAGATTCATTTGTCTATGATACTACAATATACTTAAGCGTAAGAATCCAGAAGATACATGCAAATACATTTAAAAGTTACCAGATATTGCTCAGTATAATGCTGGACACGTACAATGGATAGAACCACACCAGCTGCATTAAACAGGCAAACAAAATTTTTGAACTCAAAAATTGTTTGAAACAGGTCTGCAAAATATTCTTTCTCAAGAAAAAAGTCCACTCAAGAAGGAACCACAAATAATATAAGCAATGCGCCAATCAGTAATTTTCCACATGCTATCAAGTTAAAACATATAGAAAACAACTCAGAGGAGGAACGTCACAGGGAGAAAGACAAAATTACCTAAGACCAAGGCAACTGTGGTGAATTCATAGTAAATGAGGAGATAGCAAAGAAAGACTTCATGAGCACAGGGATATTTATGGCCAATAACCCTTTAGATTCCAAATAGCCAATAGAATAAACATGTAATCACATTGCAAAGGATGATGACATATAAATCACACGCAACAGAAGTCATAAATTATATGATCTTATGTAGAGCATTTCAGATATCAATCAAGCATTTTTTTAAAATATAATTTTCAAACTTTAGTATTTATTCTCCAATCTGGTCTTTGAGAGTGTATTGTTAACTAATACTTTGCAATTAGATTAGAAGGAAACTTGACTCTCTTTTTCTAACACTGGCAAACTTTTCATGGATTTATTATATGTTACATCTCATAAATAAAAGGGAAAAGGAAAGAGAAAAAAAAACCAAGCATCTCAAGGAGAAAACATCAATTCATAAAAACATCAATTCATGATCCTATGTTACAGAGACTTGATATGAGTCATCTATAAATTCAGAAACAGCCAAATTTATACCATGATGTCAGTTGAAAAGAAATGACAAGATTCACAGACTGAACAATAAGATGTCAATAAGTCTACAGTAACTGCTTACTCAGGCAAATTATTTAGCCATGAAACTAAAAAAATGTACAGGATGACACTACAAATTAATTGAAAACAAAACTCACATAGATGAGTTGAATCAGAAGTTTTCGCGTTGTCGAATAAATAGTCAAAATCACTCCATATCTCCATACTTCTTCATACAAAATATGAGGGCATTGAGATGGCAATATCCATTCCAACATAGGAACAAGAAATGCTTTCAATATATATACACTGCAACAACATACATGGAAGATATATCAATAATACTGCAACATGAGTGTAATATGACTAGCAACTATGAAGGCAATGATAACAGCATTATCTATAAGCAGTCGAATAAGAGAAAGACAATTTAAAAGGACTGCAGTCAACAGTTGCTGATAAAAAGGCTGTTAAAACCAGCATGGTAGATAAAAATCATAGGTCACTATTTTCATCAAAAAATTTAATTTTCCACCACTGGTAGATACATAACCACATACATGCATTTATCTGTAGATGTACAAGTATTGGTACATACTTACATATCGCAAAGCCAAATATTATACAGGCCTCAACAACCACAATAATCCTACTTAAAATTTGGATCATGAAACCATTCCAAAAACCATCCTTTATCATTTTACAACCACAGGAAGAAACTTTAATCGATTCAATTTATTTCACAGTTGACGTGGAATTATTCTAGCCAAAACAGATCAACATGAAATGAAAAGGGGTTAAAAACAGGCGAGCCAACCAACAGCACCCACCAACATCATTACCCACAAATTGTTCTCTCCCGATAAGAACCAATTAAGGGATCCAACAAGAGGACTTTTTACAAAATGTATGCTATGGAACAAGTCTCTCCTATTCATTGACTTTAACCTTGATTTGACACAACCCCAAATAATAAAAACTAATATACTCACAAGAACAATTATTGCGTCCATCTTCCTCGTGTAGCTAGATTCACTTGCGAGATAAAATCACATAAAAAAATGATGTGGAAAGAAAATTTTATGTTTATGAAATCTACAGCATACAACATATGTGCCTAACATAGAAATAGCTGTGAATTAGTTTCTAACAAACCTGACTATATTATATGCAGCCAGGAATTAAAAATACAAACAAAAGATCAAAACAAAACCATAATTTAAAAAAAAAAATAATAAAAAAAAAAATGCTAACTTCAATCCTAAAAGTGGGCTGAAAATAAATAGAAAGCAAGGTTCTGCATTATATCTTGTGTGGATGAATATAAATACCTGTACTTAGGTAAGCAATCAATATGCCAATCAATATATTGCCAAATAAATTCAAATTTTGACAACATTAAACCAATTTAATTAGGTACACAACTAATATATTGCCAAACAATTTCCAAATTTAACAAAATTTTAAGCTTTTAATTACCTAAACAATGTGATTAAAAATAAATTCAAACAAAAGTGAAACAATAATCAAATTAAACTACAATTAAATAAAGATTATGATTTTTACTACCTGCCCAGAAAAATAAATCCATTGAAGAGAAAACATTGACTAGTTCGAATCAAAAGGCTTTTAGACCTGCAAAGTGAAACAAATCAAATTAAATCAATCTAAAATAAATAAATTGAGCAGGTAATTAATAATTAAATAAAAAATAGGGATAAATTAAGGATGTAACCTGTAACAAAAGATGGCAACTCTATGAACGCAACAAGCCTCTTTGAAACCATAAAACCAAAGAAGAGATCCTTGCTTTAGCTTTGCTAATGTACTTTCTCCAATTGGTGGAGTAGCCATTACTATGAAGCGTAAGAAGAGAGAGAAAGAGAAAAAGAGTAGATCTTTTAACATAAGCTGAAAGAAACTTCTGAGCAGTAAGAACAGATCTGTTAACATATTTCTTAGGTGAAACATAATCTTCATCACTAAGGCAACGCAACTATAAAAAAAAATAAAAAAAAAATTTAAAAAAATAAAAAAAAAAAGCTTATGTTGAAAAGTGACTATTCTGGCAAAACTAGAACTGTACAGTGTCACCATAATTACTGTAAAGCATAGCAGCATACAGCTATCAATTTCATCTGTACAGCTGAAAAACGGTAAAACATTCTGTGTCCACTGTTTGATAAGAATTTCAAATTTAGGTGTACACGTATAAAAAAATCCTCAGACATTCAAATGAAACATCAAATGATTTCTTCTCTCTAAAAATAATAACCAATATGAAATATATAGGAATAATCCAAAAAGGGAAAGAAAAAAAAAAATAATACACAAAGACAGAAGCAAGTCAAAACATAGCATTAGTCAATCCTTGGCCAACATATCAAACATTTGAAGGAGAAAACAGACGAGGAAAAGATATAATTTGGCTGATCCAACAAGAAAAGCTTCTATTCATTAAACTATAAGTGATTGAAACTTGCACAATTGATATCCTTGCAACCTTAATTATAAGCGCAGCCACCGTCAATATTCTTACAGTAACATACTTTTTTCATTTCTTTCCACAACCTAAGAAATGAAGTATTATTTTTAATTTAAACTTCACAATATCATAGACAGCTATACTTCCTCCCCTACAAGAAGGCACCAATTACATAGATGATTTGAAGCACCTGACTATATTTGCAATATTTTCAAGTTTCTTCTTCAATTGAATTGTCAAACTAACCCTACAACTCTGTCTTACGTTCTTATAACAAACAGGTCTACCAATACTTACACTGGAAAATACTCGACTTATGACCTTGCTAATCAAAGAAAATTGCATCTTAATTTTGCGTTCAATTGTGTTAAATCAAAAATATGAAGAGCTTTTAACACAGTATGTCATGAACATGAAAAGGTACAAAAATAAAAAGTTGTAGCTGCCCCTGTAAGACCGTAAAAGCTTCCAAATAGACACTGGCCATGCCTTACTTTTATATGAAAACAATTTAAATCAGCACATCATTATCCCAATTACCACTCAGAATCTTCCTTTGTTACTTTCCACCAATACACTTATCACCTTTGACTAGCTAAGAGACTTCCCACCCAAAATACAAAATTTAAACAAATAAGAACATTAAAGCTGTCCTCTTCCTAAGTTCCTATATGAGCTGCTTAACAGACAACTTACTTGCACTACCTCCTGTGATTATGAAAAAAATACACTAGCTCCTTCACAAGCACATCATCATGCAACTTCCTCACTCAGTATCTACTTTTGTTTCTATCCTCCCAGATGTAGTAGATCTCAGCTGCTAAGAAAAACATTCTCAGAATCTTCTGTAGCTACTAAAAGAGATTATAACAAATCATAATTTCAGTATAACCTCCATATCACCTAAACAAAGGAAAAACTCCAACCCAAATATTTCAGTACAACCTCCAAATCACCTAAACAGAGCAAAAACTCCAACCCAAATTTTTTTAGAATATGTAGGAGACACAAAAGAGTGAGATTTCTTCCAAAACAATGTATATAAAGGCTCAAGGCGCACCAAGGCGTTTCAGAGTTCCCTGTGCCTAAGGTGCGCCTCATTGAAGTAAGGCGCACATAATAAACAGAGAAAAAATCTTTGTGCGCCTTAAACTACGCCTTGGCTGTGCCTCATCAAAATCGCCTCGCCTGGACCACAAAAGGTGCATAACCCCTAACACCTTGTGCCTCAGCGCCTTCAAACACTGTTCCAAAGTCCATAATCGTTCCATGGACAAACACTTCAACAAAGTTTACTTCAAGATAGGGTATGACTTCTTTCGGAACACATGGAGATGGCAACTCTCTCTCATATTCAATTGCAAGTTTCTTCAAAGTAAGGTTTGTATATCAGCTTCAATAAGTTTACCCTTCTTAAAACCATAAGGATATTTATACTCAAACAAAGCAGATGTTAAATCTCCCACCGTACAAGACATATTAGCCCTTTGAGGTTTACCACTGATTCTTTCAGAAGCTTCAGTTATTGCAACAAAAGTCTTCCCTCTAGCAAACTTTTCAGTTTTCACACTATGAGCAAATTGTTGTTATGAATTTGTGCCTCAGAAATATAATGCTTTTTCTAGGTTCAAGCCAAAGGTACCACCCTCTCCCCCAAGGGCTGGGGAAAAATCAATACTCAAATTGACTGCAATAATATGCTACAAAAAAAATAGCAAAAAAAAAGTCCTCTACAAGAACATAAGGTAATGCCATGACCAAAATCTACTTACTACCTTCTAGACAATTCAATCTTTTATCTTCAAGAGCTTGATTCTCAAGAGACAGATATGTCTTAGTAAGAACAAGCTGTCATTTAGCAAATCTCATAAGTCTTCGAAGCATAAGATTAATAGTTCAGCACTAATAGAACACTTGGATGTAAAATAGTTAATTGATTCCATTTTAAGGTTAGAAAAGACTTATTTCGCAAGATAGTATATTTTCCTTTCAATGGGATGAGGAAATGTAAATTCAACAAGTATGATATGGATCAACAACACTCTTGACCGGTAAGAAATTCAACAGATGATCTACCTCAAGCAAGAATAAGTTGTTTGTAAAACAAAAAATGAGGTTCAAAGCTCACTGTAACTAGTCCCTTACATGGATGTAAGTGAAGCTAAGATCAATAAGAAATTGTGTGAGATTGTTTGCATGTAGTATGTAAAACAATGGCATGTTGATGAATGACAAGGGCGGGAGACCAAGAGATATGGATTACACCATTATATTCCACACATCCAAACAAAACCGAGAATAAAAAGCATCCATTTCTTCCATCAAATTCATTTCCTCTCCCATACAACAGCTATTAGTATTCCCCACCGAAATCATAATCTTTTAATGCTTTTACTAACAAGTATCTCAAAAACCCATCTACTTACAGAACCAACTTAGAATCCACCTAACAATATACCAATCTCTATACTTCTTTGTACACAGTAAGTAACTTCGGTCAGCAAGTAACTTTAATTTGCCATCAAATCCATCAATTTAATCCAAAACCAATCCCTTTCTCCAATCATACTCATGAAGCATCAAAATTCCTCATCACAAACCCTACATAAACAAGCCTTAAGCTGAGGAAAACAACACGGCAAAGTCCCTAAATTGTCCGCTCCATTAAACAAAGATACTCCTCCCAATATAGCTCAATCAAACCATAGTCTCAACATAAAGCATTTCCGATGAGGATATATCCAAATATACAGAAGAAACCAGCACTACCAAGTCAACTGAAGTTCCTCAATAATTGTCTCAACTGAAGTTCCTCAATAATCATCAGGACTTCCATATTCTATATCACCAAAACATTATCCCAAATTCCCAATTAAAAGGCAAATACACGATTCATCAATCTTCCACTATCCCAACCATATCCAACTGTGGTTGCCTCCTGAAAAACTTAGTCCATATCACCTTTCTTTCTCCTAATCAGCAATCTAATCCAGTTACACAACCAAAATCCATAGCTAATTTACAGTGTCATAATTCAATTAGAACCCGTGAAAATGTATGCATTCCCACAGTTATCTACATCCTAAATATAATGCTTCCCAACTTACAGTTGTAATTCTAACCCCAAAAAACTTGAAAGAAACAATTTTTAATTTATTTTTTTCTAAAGAGGCAAAGAATCAAAATCAGATAACGCAAATTCAACCAATATATTATAATTCTCAAAATCTAACCTATATTCCCAAAAAAATTGCTATTGCCATTAAACAAAGGATCACAATAATTAAATAAAATCAAATTAATCAAAAATTGAAACAAAATAGAATCGCAATTCCCAAAATCAAAAAGGGTTTACGAAATTAAAATTGAAAAGAGGAGAGAGAAAAAAGAGGACCTGGTAAACAACGACGACAAAGAAGGAAATCAGCCATGCAAAAAGAGCGAGCATGATCTTATTTCTTCAATGGAACTCTCTCTAACTTTCTCTCTCCTCTGTCACTCTTTTAGTTAACGACAACGACGGCGGTGTTTCCCGATAAGAGGAGAGAGAAAGAGAAATTGGGACGACGACCTTGGTGTGGGTGTTTTGCCGTGAAGTCGTGGGAAAGAATCGTATGAAGAAAAGATGAAAGACAGGTACTAGTGTACTACGTAATTTGTTCTGTTTTTAGTAAGGAGAGGAGTTTAATAGGACGATTTGCCCAAGTGAGCTTAATTAAAAAACTATTTTGTAAAATAGACGCGTGGTAAAACTATTTATCAAACTTAGTTTATGGGATAGATAACGTTTTATATCCTGGGTTTTAAAAAAAAAAAATTCCAGACAGCGTTTTACTTATTGACTTGTTTTTTTAAAATTTCGTAATTTCTGATTTTTAAATTTTAAACAAAAATTAAAAATTTAAATACACTAAAACGTTGTCTTATGTACTGAATTAAACGCTACCTGGGACAACGTTTTTTCTGCTGGACTGCAACAGCCAGCAACCTCCTCACTCCAAAGTCAGCCCCCAACCCACCACCCCCGGCCCTCATTCAGCCACCACCCTTCACCACCACCCCCAGCCCTCATTAAGCCACCACCCTCCACCACCACCCCCACCACCAACCCCAACCTCAACCATCATCCTCACCGCCAATCACGATCTCCAACAACCTCCCCACCACCACCCACCACTTTCACCCACCCTTAGCCACTTCAAACCACTCCAACCACCCCCAATAGCACTACAACCACCATGAACCACCACATTAACCACGACCGGCCATTCAAATAAGGAAATTAAACTTCAAACCACACACAGATTCATTCAAAAAACATTTAATATATTAATAATGTAAGTGTTATATAAAACAGACTAGAAAATTCGATTACAGCAAATAAATCAGATAATACTATCCCCCTGACTCATTTATTCGGGGTAATGGTTCTCTATCCTTTCTGTCGTCCCTCTGTCTAACACGACGCCACCTGTAATGAGTAATGGTGGTAAATGGGTCTTGGGGCGGTGGCGGGTTTGATGGTTGGACGATGGGTCCTCCAGAGTAGGGGTGGACGCAGAAATGTGGATGATGTAATCCTCTGCGACTCTGGGTGACGTAGGATCACCTCTGTTTCGGGGTTTTCTGATGTCCCGCGGGAGAGTTACAATTCCGGGACTGGTATCCTTGCGCCTGTAACTGAAAAACAATGGAGACTCCTTGTGGGTGGAGTTCCGCCTCCGACGGTCAAGTTAGTACTTGTTTGAGGAGTAATAAGTGCGGAAAAGTAAAGGTAGACGATCTGGTCCCTCAAGGTGAGGAGTGATCAATGTGTTTTGGCTTATCTAGGTGAGAGTAATTAATTGCTGCCTCCCCTTTAATGAGGATTAATTAGTGTATTTATAGTCTTGGGAAGCGTGTCAGTCCTAGGTTTAGGTCAACCTAGGGCTGATTGGGCTTCTTCCGGAGACTGGGCCTAGGTGGCTGTTTCGCCCATTTGGCATAGGTGAGGCCACGTAGCGTGGCATAACTAGTCCAAGGTGGACTGATCAGCACTTGACACGTGGCAGGCTCCAACTAATCCACGTGGCGAACACATGGCAGGGCCTGAATGGTCCACTTGTCAGATGACGACTGGCTGGGGAAAATCCCCTAATCATTTGCCCCTTACAGGTGGCACGTGACTGGTCACATGTCACATGTGACAGGTGTCGGCCTGCTACAAGTGTCGCCCTATGATGGGCCGAGCGTTTTTCCTGCTTATTTTTTGAATTTGGAAGCGACTCTTCAACTTCCACAAATTCTCTATATAAGGGCTTTGACCAAAAGTCTTGTTCACACTTTGCATTTTCTTAAAGAGAACACTCGGACCCTTGCACTTGAGCTCTGACACTTTGCAACTTTTGACCTGCCGATTATTTCTGACAAGCCGACTGCTTTCGCTAGACGACTGCTTTTTCCTTCTTTCTAGAACTCATATTACTCAGGTAATCGTCTGCTCTCTTGTGTTTTCTTTACTTTCTTTTCTGTGAAATATGGTACCTCAAAAGCACCCGGCACAACCTAGGTTAGTGATCAGTCGGTCACCGGGGACGGCTGAATCTAGGACTAGGAGTGCCGCCTGTCCCTTTTAGGACCAATCTTCGCCCTTTGTACATAGCCCGACTGTGTCTGTGTCTGTGCAGAACACAATGGCCCGAACTAAGAGGACGGCTAGATACACCAGCTCGGATGGTTCCTCGTTCTATGTACCAGTGAGCGAGACATCAGACAAGACGCCTGATGCTGAAGGTACCCAAAGCGGCTCTGTTGCCGTGAGCTCTGAGGAGGGGGCTAAGGTGGCCCCTTCCCACTTTATTATTGACCTGGCCAGTCAGCAGTCGGCCCCTGAAGAAGAAAAGGGGTCGGCCCCCTCAGGGAGAGGGGAGGAGTCGGACTCTTCTGATAATGAGTCTGACTCTAGCTCTTCAAGCTGCCTCTCTCTAAACTCAGAGGAAAGGCATTCTCGTTTGCATGAGGCGAGACTCTCTCATGCGGCTGATAAGGGGGACGACTGGTCAGAACCATACGCCTCCTATAGGGAGTTGAATACTCCTTACTACTGTCATGTCCCAAAGGGTCGAATCAAGGCCATGAAAGAACGAATAGACTCTTTTTTATCGGACTATGTGATAGGTCCTAATTTTCAATTATTTGTGCTGAAGATGCAGTTGTCTAGCCCGCGGGGGCTAGCTACAGGGACGCCTGTTTTGGCTGCTACGAGGCGGCCATTAAGGCTGGTCTTCGATTTCCCTTGCATCCGGTCGTTCAACAAATCCTCGATGGATACGAGGTGGGGCTATGGCAGTTAGCCCCGAATTCCTGGTTCAACATCCTTGGCTATGTAGCCGGATGTGAAATGCATGGGGTGGAGCCGAATTTTGAGGCGTTCACCCATATGAATTATCTTAGCCGAACCCCCAAAGCAAGCGATACCGGCTGGTACAAATAACGAGCCACAAGGGCTATTTGATGACGGGGGGGAAAGAAAACAAATGGAAGGATTGGAGAAACACCTTCCTCATAATTGCCAGTCCTGACAAACTGCTGAACAAGCGCTACAATAGGTGGAACAAGGATCCGCCTTTTCTAGCAGGCGGCCGTAGCATGCCGCTTGTCCCTCGCCGGGCTAGGGAGGAGATCCTTGACCGAGGGCTTTTTAAAGTAGAGATAAGGGAAAACTCTACTACTGGGGTACGAGAGCAGGTGCCTTTAAACTGTGTCCCCAAATTTCAATGGCTCTATGATGAGTATTTTTTGGCCGCTTGTGGCCTTAGTAGTCGGACCTCCAGAGGTAGCCGGCCTCTTGAGCATCTATATGCATCTTTTGTTTCTTGCCTTCAAATTTCTTATATCTCTTTGTGGTGCTTATTTTCAGTTGAAGCTATGGACCACATCTCTGCGTCCAAGAAGGCGGCCGCCTTGTTGCGGACCTCAATCATGCACCAGAAGCGGACCTCATCTGATTCTCCTGCCAAGGAGACGCCCATAGTGAGTTCTGAGCCTTTAAACTTTGTCTTGAAAGCCTGCTTTTATCAGTATTGACCATTCATCTTTTTCGCAGGCGGGCACGTCCAAACCCTCTTCTTCCCAGCAGCCGGATGTGAAGGCTCGCAAGCTGGCTATTGGGAGCTCACCTGGCTATGTGGGTAAACAAATTCAAGTCCCTAGGGACAGTCGGCCACCAAGAGGTATAATCCGGCTCTACTAGACTTAACTTTTTCTTCAATGCTTTCTTCAGGTTTTGATGTTTCTCTTTTCTGGATGCAGGCGGCCCTCAAGAACTCGACTTGGTCCAAATGGCCAAGTCTATGGTAAAGGCCATCCCTCTAGAGGAGAGGGATGCGGTCAAGGGAGCCGGCACCCTTGACCTGGACAACATCATGGGTCTCCTCTCCGAGGTAGACTTAGCGTTTTAAAAATGTTGATTTTGCCTGCCGCCTGCTCTTTTCAAATCTGACGCCTGTTTTTCCTTTTTCATACTCTGTTGCGAGTACACGGCCTCCGTAGGCCGATCAGCGCCAAGAACAAAGAGGTATAGGCTGCTAAAGCCATGGCCGCCTTTGACTGTGACAAGGCAATGTTTCAAATTGCCCAAAATGAAATTTTGACAACTGATATTATATCAGGCGCATGCCACTTCGACTGTCCGCACCAAGTTGGAGGCGACCAAAAAGAAGAACAATGAGCTGGAGGCGACTGTCCAAACTCTCCGAGAGGAGCTGAAGCCGCTTATGCATATTGCGCACCAATATGAATCCTTGAAGAAATCCTTAGAGAGTGTCAAGGACCGCCTGCAAAAGCAGGAAGCGGCCATCACTTAAGAGCTCAAAGCTAAGGTCAATTCTGAAAAGATGGCTTTAGCCCAAGCCATGATGGAGGACTCGGCTCAGATCATTTAGATGACCTGGACAACCCTCTTCCCAAAAGCTAGCTATGTCGCCTAGGATAAGAAGTTCAACGCTTGTACTGAAGAGTACAACCAAAGGATCATGCAGCAGGCGGCTGGTGAAGATGAGGCGGTCGACTCCAGCTCTGAGGAGGAAGAAGAGGTGGTGGCCCTGCAACCAATGGAGGTGGATGCGCAAAGAGCTCTGCCCCTGAAGACGAGACAACAAAGGAGGCTGCTTTGAAGAATCAAGCGCCCAACGTTGAGCTTGATCAGGCAGCAGTTAACAACGAAGCCCCTCCAAATGCTTAAAGCTTTTATTTGTCGAACTTTTCTCCGGCCTGCGTGCCGTTTGTTCTTGTATCACTTTACCCGGCCAAGGGGCCGGGGTTTATGAATATTTTGCCGTTCTTTATGGCCGGCTGTTTATATGAGTTTGGTGACCGTCTTTCGGTCGTCTTTGATCACTGAATCTTGTTTATGCTTTATTTTTGCCAAGTGTAGAGGATCCTGTTTCGATTAAAATGCTTTAAAATTTGTAACAGTACCGACTGCCTATGCCCCTGGACGACTGGTTGTCTTGGCTCCAGATTGGCGATCAGTCGGCCATTTGCCCAGTCGGATCCCCAACGTATTTTGGAAAACGCGTTAGGTTTATCTTAACTTTTTCAAGTTAGAAAGAAACAGGCCGCTTATAACCAGCCCGCCTGTTTGTTTGAATAGGAATAGCTCTTGAGTCCCTGTTTGCCAAAA